ACGGAAATTGAGACGGAACTGGCAATCCGCTGTACGGGATTGACAGCAAATAAATTTGCATATGCCGCAACTATGGGTAGGTGTAGACAAAGGGTGCCATGGTATCAGGATAAACACGCCACAATGGCGCTTTCAGTGAACACAGAAACACTTGGAAGAAATGCTAAATTTAATTTGCTCCATACTGTTACATGTGTTATAAACACGTCATACCATAAACTAGCTCTACGTTCTTACTGATGACAGCGAGGTTAAACAACATTAAACAACCATTACCCAGTTCATTAACCTGGTGGAGGTAAATGCGACAAGACCAGTATTGGTAACTAGTCGGGGTGCCAGTCCACCACAACCGCATTGTATTATATGTCGTGTCACGCGACTAATGTTCTTCATATTATCTTGGATTATTTTGACATGTAGGTGACAAAATGACGATCAAGGGTCAGCTGAAGGTCAATGAATATTTCCAAGTTGAAGGATGCGAAAATGTCTATGCTATCGGTGATTGCAACAATGTAGATGAAACCAAGATGGCGTACAGAGCCGGACAGCATGCTGATTTGTTGCTCGACAATCTTGTCAAAGAATCTGAAGAAAAAGAGAAGACACCTTATAAACCCGGTAACAATTGGCCTTAGGCTCAAAAGGCCACCGAAATCTCGTTGAATGCGAGCGAACTACAATCGTGTTTTTGCTTCTCCATTTTATTCCATCATTGTGTCTCTTGACCAACGTATTTGGAACAGTGTCCTCGATGGCGGAAGAAAGTGAGAAACTATTTGAGAGGCAAAAATAAGTCTCGTCTCTCGTATGTTCTCAACGAGATCTCGACGGTCATTTACGTCAAATATATTGACTAACCCATTGCAGTATATGGTAATCGTAATAGTGACGCGCCGTTAAACAATACAGTACAGAATGAATGATCAGAGAAGGCATTTTAAAGCGGCAATAGCTGTAACTATTGACCTTTTCCCTGTCTATATTTTAATAACATTTCCTTTATCATTAGTGTCAATTTCTAATAGCCATCGCCGAAATGTGGCCACAGAAAGCCACGTGATGACCAAATTCAACGAAATGGCGACTTTTTGACCCTTAGTTTTCACTTTATTCATTTTATGTGATATAAAATTTGTGTAGGGTAACTTTGCCCATGCAGTTGCATCTATAACAATATTTTGGTAATATTTGGTCATCTTTATGGGGTTATATTTAAACAACAAATTTTCAAAGTCACAGCTATTGTCGCTTCAAGGAATCTCATGATCCACAAATTTACTATACGTAATACGTGAGTACCAGGTACACATCGTTCGTTTGCACGTGTTCTTATCTGTTCAGAAATATATCGTTAATATATGTGGAGGTATCAGGCTGAATCATTATACCTATACAATTAAAGATGATACGTACATGTCTCATCTACTTTCGGTTTTCCATCACGTGATGGCGCTATATAACCACATAATATGCAATACGACACCCTGTTCATGCATGTCAAATCTCGCGAATAGGTCTTTTTATAATACTTTTATATGTATTCATTTCTAGGCGGTACAATGATGCTGTTATCGATTGGTCGTGAAGGTGGAGTTTTTCATTTACCAAATGGGTTTATTTTTGGCAGTTTTCCAACCAGACATCTAAAGAGTAAAGACGTGTTCGTGGGCAAATACTGGAAAGAGTCCGGGTTGAAATGTCCACAGGACTAGCGGCGGAACAGAAAATGCTACCCAGTGAAGGACTGCGATCTGTGCTACCAGTATCACTGCTGACATACAATACCGTACTGAGGAGGCATTTTAACCTCGTCCAAGAATACTACTTTTATAATAGCTATTGCTGGTCCCGGAATAATAATTGTATATTTTATGCTCAACAGGAAATGGTTAGAATACCATTAGTTTAGATATATACACGTTGTTGTACAAGTTGTGTGTACTGAAGTTCTGTGGAGTGACAGGTCGTTGTTGTTGTTGGTGGTGGTGGTGGTGGTGGTGGTGGAGGTGGTGGTGGTGGCCCTTTTCAATTTCAAGTTAAGTTGTTTTTATTCACCATCGTGGTAATTTGACATAGGATTACAATATAATTTAACTGACACAGTATTATATGTACAGAATCTTAACGAGTTGAAGGGGTATGAGGTTCAGAATACGGTGGATGGGGTGCCAAATTGTTTCAGCATATTCAGTTTAAATTTAACGCGAAGAAACCGACGGGGAAACACAAATATTGCTTTCAGATAATGAAGACATCAACACAACGTGTGATGAATCAAATGATGCCTATTGATATTTAGACCAACGCAAACTATAAATGTAATTTTTTTCATATTATTTAGATAGGATAGAAGGGTTGTTTAGGGCCATGTGCAGGTTTTTTAATGTTTATGGAAATCATAAATGGTTTTTCGTTGTAAACTTTGTAGCGGAGTACGAGTCTATTATAACGTACGAACTAATATGAACCGTAGTACTATATGTTGTGTGAAATACGAATAAACTTGGTTAATACTAACAAAATCAAACTGCTTATTTTATTAAAAAAAAAATACTTTCTCACATAAGAACACGTAATTATCATCGTAATTGTCATAGTTCCCCCCCGACTCAGAAGTATATGTCAAAAATATCTCGACGTCTTTCTAAAAAATGACACCATATGACGGTCGACATGAATTTAATTCGTTTTGTTAATACCAGCAATTTGAATCAGTTTATCGGTCTAACCACAGTCCCTCAACTGTGGTGGGACTGTGATCTAACGTTTCACATGACATGGACACACGAGATCGTCCCCTACTGTGAGTGTACTATTATAATAGTCACAATACATGATCATTGACTATGAGTTGTACGATCAATTTGAATTAAAACCAACACCATGCGAATACCTAGCAGGATGCCAGAATATCTTGATATGGGAACTAACCACCATCAAATGTGGGTTTACGACTTCCCCTCTTGTCAGTCTTGCGCATGACGTTGAGGGCGCCACCGTCAGTGAGTATCGTAAATACCAAATTCATTGCATAAATTCCATAAACGTATGGTAATTAACTTTAGATCATCTTCACTGTATAATAGTCTTCTCCATGTATGTTTATCAACTATGTCAGAATCTTCACTGTCGTTGTTCTCAGTATCTCTGCTGGACTCACTGGATTCTTGAACTGCTAGCGAAGTTTGATAAAAATTTACACCCAATATATTCTACTTTATTGTCTTTGTTCGTCATGTCGTGCACTGTAAGATATTTTACATCATGTCCTCGCTCAACTTTTCTATTTCCAGATCTGTAATTGTGCCACCCTTTTTTCTTTACTCTTGTCTGTCCCGCAAATATCGTCTGTTGTTTTAAACAACTTTTTGGAGCAGCTTCACATTCACACAAGTTTCATCGTAAAAAAACAAAAAAAACATCAACTTCTCTTGGTTGATCATTTTCTAATTTTGTTAGCAATATTCGTGTCCGCCATAGGTTAAATTATTCTATTTATGGGAGAACCTTCCCACCCGCGGTCACACCATTCGCCGAGTTGGAATCTTTATTTTTGATACAAGAATATCTCAAACACGCAGCCTTTCGGCTGAGATAGCTCCGCTGTTAGCAATGCACATTTCAAATAAAGATATCATTAGAAAATGAACAATATGCATAGTATCAGAGCAATGGGACTAGCTGTTTTCAACAAGAATTCAAAAATATCACTTTTCATCAAAAATGACAGAAATAATCATCAAAATTAAATAATTGAAGATATCACCACGAAATTAACAAATCTGAAAGAGGTCCACATGTAGTACCTATATATGTAATATCATTCAGGCTTGTAGTTTTCAAGAAGAAGTCAAAAAAGTAAAACATTGACACGGACGATGGACAATCACTCATATGATAAGCTCCGCTCGACAAGCGGACCTAAAAAAACTCTCCGATATGTTGTGCTAAGTTTTAACATTCCTAAGATAGTTATGACCTGGGACGTGGTCTTTGTTAAAAATAGACAGAGCAGCTTCGGCAAATTCAATTAGTGCATCATTTATTCTGTCAATGAATTCTTCAGCAATTTTCAGTTTTTCTCCGGACTTGTAGAGGGACTGTGGACAATATTACCATTTTAAGGAATGTCCCCATTATGTGATGCATCTCTAAGGGCACGATTTGTTCTTTCATTCCCATCATCATGGACATCATGGATCTATGAACAACTGATATTAAAACATGCAAATTATTCCAGAATTATACCAAACATGGAGAGCAGGTAACATATCATGAGATGAATTTTGAGACAACTGAATCTGCTACATCACATCCGTATCTAATAGAACTTAATTGCATCGACTGTGAGGCAAAGATGTGATGGGATAATGATGAAGAGGAAACGTATGAGGCACGATATTACTGACTCTGAGAATAGCGACTACAAGTAGAGTAACATGTATTTAATATTAAATCGACAGAGTGAGAGCGATATACTACATACTAACTATGGTTATACACATTATATACTTTCTTTACACCATACTATTAAAGGGCAGTGGTCTTCACACAGCATTGGTTCGAATTTAGTGTCAGCAAACAATGCATTTTACACGATACGAGTCCCATATCGAACAGGAAGTGACGCGACGTCCATCGCCTTTTAAGCTTCAGGTACCTGTACCCGTCATTGTACTAACTGCAATGTTTCTAAAATACTCTGCAAATCCTGTCCTAAGTTTTTTTTTATTAAATGTTCTTGTTATAATTGATATAATTTTCCCAATTGGCAACAAGTCTTGATTTTAATTTTTCAGAAAATGTGGAAACAATTATGTAGGAAAGATTTGTGAAAGGAGTCAAAAATTTACCTCGGCATTGAAAGGGTTAATGGTATGCAAATTACCTAATTAATATGCATAGACGATATTTAGAACTAATTTGTGAATTACGACAAAAGTTAATTTTGGTGTTCAAAGGGTAAATGAAACCGTACATACCATGTCGTAAAGATCATTACAAAATGTAGTCAGTTGGATTCTCTACATCAAAAAACTTTCGGGAACTTAGATTGTCATAGTTCATACCTACCGTAACACGGTAATTCACTCAAATACACATATACTTGTTTGCACAGAGTTTAATTCAGAAAAGCCAGTGATAGGTACATATCTTACTTGTTGAACAGCTTATAGAGAAACCAAATAATAATGTTAAGCAAAGTATATTACCAAAAATAATAGAAATAAAAACTTGAAATGTAAATAGATAATAAACAACTCTGTACAGATCACAGAACAATTTGTGTGATTCAGCTGTCATTGGGCAATAAAGTGTCAAATGGCCTGAACAATAAATTTGAATGCATGTTCAAAACTTAAACCATGTCAAAAACAGCGAAATTGAACAGATTCAGCAATCAGATGCTTTGCACCATTCACAGTGATGAACTGAGGTTTAATTTACATAAATACAAAAGGTATATTCTACACTACTATTTGCTCAGTCAATTCAATACCATTTAAGAAATAACTTGACCTGTTAATTTTCATCAATGAACCAATCAAATCCAGTACTACAGACTTCTATGAACCAATCAAATCCAGTAGTACAGACTTCAATGAACCAATCAAATCTAGGAGTACAGACGTCTACCTGCCATGGTTGATGTTGCGAGTTGGAATGGGTTGGGCCCAATAGTAAACTTCAATAGTTGAGGTAGAACAGCTTGGTGAATCTAGACTTGGCACTTTGGCTAAATCTGCACAGTATTAACATACATCCTACATTAAGACCTGCCTAAATCCATCTGATGGGCACAAACACATACAATACACATTAAAATCTCATCCAGATTGTCAAATTTCAATTTACCAACACATTTAATTTGCAATATTTTCCATATGCAAACGCAACCATGTACTTCAATACAGTCGTATACAGCTTTGATTTGAATTACTATTGCACTCAAGCATGAGATGGAATGTAATCACTATTACATTATGAGTACAAGAAATACTGTGAATGCATAAATTCTTACTGGTATTTAATATTTTGATTGTTTTTACTGGGTTTATAATTCAGATTTTCTAGTAAAACCACAAATTCTATGATAATTTACATATTCACATGGATTAACTTTAACAAATTTTAAAGGCAAAATTAAAACCATCTAAATAATTAATGACTTTACAGTACTTATTTTTTCAATAAAACGGATGTTATTCTATTTTTTCTTTTGTCTGTACATTTCACACCTGTTGGCATATTTAAACACCCAAGGTCAGAACACAGTCCCTGGTGGTCAGAAAGACATGCAAATTATTTTTTTTTTCTTTCTGCTGATATACCGGTATTTGTATATACATTGCATATTTAATGAGAAAGGCAAATGATGTACAAATGTGGCAATATATATTTACCCATGCTTGCAGCATTGAAGCAAATGTTCTATTGGTTTCAAAGAGAAAACTCTCAATGCATGGGATTACATGATGAAAGTATCTCATTATCAACACCATTAATGTCATTTTCAATCAGTGAACTAAATTTGCATTCAGATAAAACTGACCGCTTTAACAAACCTCATTCTAAATTAACTCGAAAGTAAAATCCCACATTTGTTGCTTCAAAATTCATTTCAGCAAACTGAAAAATTAATTACAATTATTTAAAAAAAAATACCATAAAACACATGTTGTATGTTAAAAAAATAAAAATACTAACATGCATTTCATATACATCACAGGAAAATACAACAAATTTCAAAATTACTGCAAAAAAGTCGGCCTTTTAGGGATACAATGTACATAATTAAGGTACATTTTCTAAGCTACAAAAGGCAGTATGTGAGCATAGTTCAACAAACTTCAGCAATCAACGATTGTTCAAAACCCAACTGATCAGAGCATTGTGAAGTGTTGTAGGAATCAATGGAAATTCCCATCTGATGTATGCTCAACTGAGGTATTCTATTCAAATCACATTTTAAAGAATTTCATAATGTATAATAACATTTAATTGATCAATTAATTAAAGCAGAAAATTTAATATAAATGATATCTGGATATCTACATCCAACCATGGTGTCAACGTGCTGTCATGCAAGAGATAAATGCCCAAGCAAAGTTCGCCTGTACCCTGCATGTGATGACAGTGGATTTTAGTCTCAAAAACAACCACCACTGATAAAAGTCAACTCAACTCAAATAAAAAATAAAATTGCAGATAAACAATTCATAAACTTCAATAAATAACATACAAAAATAATAATATCTGAATGTATTATTAAAAACTGAAATTATTGAAAAATTATTTTCACACTTTGGCTTAATAGTTCAATATCAATACCTTACCCTGCTTGTAATCAATAACACTAGAATTCAACTAGAATGAACATACTAAACGAACACGCGTATCATTTTCGAGTTCCAAGTTTGTGTCAATCACATCAGAAAATTGAAGACTCCTTGAAAACGAGTCATTTACATTCATGCATTAAACAAATTCTAAATGGAATATTTCAAAATTATACATGGAGGCTATTTACACCTAGTTGTGTACAGACAAGGTCCAACAATATGGTGGTCCATAATTTGTTGACGTATTGTGACAAAAATATCTCTCAGAGAGAAAACTTCAAATTATGCAGTTGTGAAAAATTTTGAATATTTTAAATGGCATCAATTTATAAAAATAATAAATGCAATTAATTTGGGGAGAGGAAAACACGAATAATTTATTCACACAACTGCTGGTTAGATGCAGCAGATAAGATTGTCCACTTTTACCAATGGCTGTGACAATCAGTTTTAATTGTGTATTTATTTTGTATGCCATACATATTTGTGCCAAGACAACACAAACCAAACTGAAGCTACACCAATAAAGTCTTTAAACTAGTCATGGGATGACTGAAGTGAGAAAAGTGATTTGTATAGTTTTGTGAAAACACAAAAAGAGATATTACAAACACACAAAAATGTTACTTCAGCTTATGAAAAAAATTTGCAATGTATTTATATGGTGTTACCTTACCAATACCAGTACCAGTAGTGATATTTACTATGGTCATATACTTGTATACAACAACCAGATTATTTTCTGTCATTGTTACAATTAGTACATATATATACACGTACCAAATTGTATATGTCCATTACCAGATACTCTTATACTTGAGAGGAGCCTGGAGTCACTCCCTTAAACTGTGATCGAGGGCTCATTTCATGATCTCCAAGTCCCAAATCACCATCACTAGCTGGGTCTTGATCATGTGGATTAGGTGTTATATTTGGTGTGATATCATCTGTAGACCCGCCACCGATGATGGTTGGCATCTCTCCATATGACAGCTCATCGTCCAAGATTATCTCAGAATCACTGCCGCGACGAGGCATTGTAGATTCCTATTGACAAATACAAGCAATAAGTGTAAAGCTGCATTTGGAATTTGTCTTAAGTGATCATAGGACTGAGAAAAGTGTGCATTCGTAGACAGGGATTCAGTGACTTTTGTGAGATTTAGTTATCAGCAAATTAAAAGAGCATGAGCTGTATTTTACATGAATTTGTTAATTTTTTTTTTATCCACGCAATACTGAGCTAAAATTAACTTTCTAGTACCAAATGAATCAACACACAGTAATATGTCATGAGACACAATGTACCGGGTATACAAGTATTTATGCAAATAGCTGCATTCAACATGGGAAAAATTGACAAAATAACATTACTCTAAGTTCATGGTAGCATAAAGTTATGGATGATTCCTTACAGCGGGTGCTATAAAAACTAATCAGGATAAGAGCTATCTCCCTATCAATTTCTCTTGCAACATTGTAATATTCCTAGGAATGTTTGTTATGACTTTGATTGAAACTCATTTGCATGCCAAAAGTTCCACATATTTGATAAGAGCGTTCCAAATATGGAATAAAATTGTTTGGTTGAGATAAAATAATAATTCAGCATGTACAAATGTATAATGTCATAGGATTCAACAATTCACCATTTTCATATTCATACAATTCTTTTGCTTGAAATCTGACTTTGTTTTAAATCCAAATCTATAAATCTGATTTGCAAATACCAGTAGTTGACGAGGAGCAAACAACAAACACTGCTGGCAATGTTCCCAGGAATATCACAATGTTACGAGAGATTAATGTAGAAGAGAACGTTTATTGTGATTAGTTTAATACCCAAGATAAACCTTTGAATGGTATCATTTTCCTTACCACAATTTTGTATTTTTTTAATTTCTTTGTAAATTTTTATCCATGTGGACATCATATCGAATTGGCTACAAGATCTTGATCAAAATGTTTGAAAAATATGGAAAATAACAAAATACAAAGGTAAAGACCAAATGTTTATTTGAACACTAACTAGCAGGTCAGTCGTAAACTAACTCGTAATTAAGAATGCTTCTCAAAGTATGAGCTCATCAGCTGATATGAAAACGATAGTCTGAAAGTAGCATAATGACTGCTCCTTAACATAGTCAAATACCCCCACACCCGGCCCCCACCCACACCCCGCCCTCCACATGTAAAATTATTACCCACCTCCTTCCTTGTAAGACATCTAGCTACTGCACTACAGCAACCTGGTAAGGTCTGTGATAAGTCAGCACCTCTATTTGTAAGTACTGGTTTCACATAGCTACAAGGCAGTTAAGTAAATCTACACTTAGACATTATTCTGTTCTTTAATCATACATTTTTCTTAGTCTCCAAAGCATTATATGAACAAAGTCAAACATCGTTGACGCATACTGCTGCTTTTGAAAACATCACCAATTAGTGTAATGACTAATTAAACACAAACAAGTATGAATATCTGACGTGTTTCACTTGTACGCACAGCTTATGAAATAAGATAAGATTTAGCTAGCTACTTCGTGCCTTTGGCAACTCAAAAAATTTGCAGACACCACTCCTGCCATATACACTGGAAAACAGGTAACAGAATAGGCACTGATGAGCTATTCTGAATCAACCTAGAATCGTAAGTCAGAAGAGTTGGTAATACCGCAGATGTAAAGGCGAGGCAAACAATTCATTCTGAGGAAATAAAAAGGCAAACAAATAATACAATGTATGGTCTTTCAATACTCCTCAAGCAAGCAATTACGATTGCAGATTGTTATAAATTTGTGAATTGTTATAAAGGATACTTATGGTCAAAGTTATACCATCGACTAACCAACCAGGCTTGCTCTTTTTTCTTGGCTCTTCTGATTGCCCTGGCAGCATTGGGATCTTGCTGTGAAATGAAGTAAAATAAATAAATAAATAAATGTGTTCATCATTCTACCATGAACTTTCATGTATTTATACATGTAGTGATATCTAACTTGGAACATATGCTAACATGGTATTCAAAGCACAACTGTAAGTTACATTATTGAATAAATCACAGTTACTATATGAAGACCATATAAAAAGATGAAACAGGCTGGCAGTTAAATTGATTCTTACGGAAACATTTGAAAAGAAGATGAATCCCAAGATGCATGTGCAGCACTTGTTGTACATACATGTACTAAAACAGTGAAAGCATATCAGCTGGATTCTCTTGTAAACCTCATTACTAAACGACTTGCTCAGGAGCCTCACCAAATAGGCAGTAAAATTTCATCGTTTGCACAATTTTATGCTTAATGTCACATAAATATTAAAATGATATTAATATTTAACTTGAGTTTTCAGGTGAAAATAGTTGCTCAGTGCAATATTTGCCGAGAGGAAACACTGCATTTAAGTAATAGACAAAGCTGTCAACTGCAAATACAACATTTATTTCATGAGATATCATAGCAATACCATACTTATCCGGGTAAGAGCCCATGCCTGGGCAAACGCCCACCCCCCGCTTTTGACACAATAAAGAAGTTGAGGTCATTTATTTATTTATTTATTTATTTATTTATTTATTTATTAACACACAACATCCCTCGGAGGGGATGAAAAGGGTTACAAATCAGATATTAGTAAAAGAAAAATAACCACATAAAGAGTAAGGGAACAAAAAGGCATAAAAAAAAAAAAAAAGATAATAAGTTGAATACAAGGAATGTATTACTGGCTTAGTTTATGTAGGTGCTGCTGTCACACGCCCAGGGGGTCTTTTTCTACACACAAAAAAAAACATTTTCTATTCGTTGACTGTGGTTGTATCAACAGTTGTCGTGATGCTTATAAAAATTCAAAATATAATTGTTAAATGCGTAAAACAAGGGGTGAACGCAAAATAGCTGTGACAGCTTTCTGCCTTCAGGGCAGCGCGTTCACCGCTGATTTTTTTCAGAATCAGAACAGTCAGCAAGTATATAAGAATATATATTAAAGCAGAAACGGTAGTTTGCTTTTTGAAATATGTCGTGGCCCTAAAAAGGGCCGGCCGTTTGGTTTGTGCTTCCTTAGAAACGATTCAAGCAAATCGTATAAGGAGAGCCGCTAAGCCAGTGTCGCACTCGTTCGGCTTTGGAGTTGTCGACAATGAAACCAATGTTGCAATATTGTAGCAACGCGTACCTGGGAGAGTGGTTGAAATCACGTTATTTTGGCTTTATAAAATATTTTGTAGCAGTTTGCGAATCCATAACTGGGGCCAGCAATTTTGCAATGTCACGCTGAAGACTGTCAACTTTTTTACCATCTTTCATCATCGCTATTGCATTTCTGTCATGAAAACTATTCTTCTGTTGTTGGATAAAAAAAAAAACTTCCTATTTCAAGTCCACCGCGATATCCATATAATGAGACATTCCAACCGCCGGAACTTGCTGAATGATAACTTTCACCGTGATTGATAAGCGTTGAGTCTGATAAGAA